GCTTCAACTCTACTCGAAGGACTCCCGATGGCGGTTCTTCGAGTTCCACGGGTTCTTTCAACCTGCTCATAGTAAAAATGGTCAGTTGACAACAAGGGTTTTAATTCCTTGGTGAATGTCAGCCGCGTTTTGAGTGGGGGTTGGTTGCAAGACCAGCAGGGGCAGAACATTGTTCCAATGAGCTATCAGGTGACATAAAAGTGAACCTCCATTTTTACGCATCACCCTGCCAAAGATCAAGGTTTGTAATTTTGCTTTTCACGTGGATGATCATTTACTTTCCGAATTCCTTGTTTCTCAAGGCACCGATTGTGACATGAATTCCCCGGACATGAATTCCCAGTTTGAGCTTAAATATAGTGTGATTCTGTTACAGTTTGCCCTGGATTGTGACATGAATTTCGAGTATAGAGACTTGGCATTCTTAAATGAAGTTAACATAAACAAAAACTAAAGAAGTCCTTGTAAGTTTCATTTTTCACATCTCAAGTGTTTCCCCAGTTTACCTCAATTAACCATGAAGCGTCTTTGATGCATTTTTGTAAAAAGAATTACTGGACTTTGCAGGCATCTTTCTCCAATGATTCCATATCCTTCATCAAGAAATGTTGCTTGGCTATCTACCTATAAAGGAAATCGGAAGCTTTATTGAAAGAAAGTTCGTCTTTTCCTTCTAAAAAGTACATCTATATACATTTTTATCAGAATATAGAAGATTTAGATAATATGTATAATGTTATATTAAACCAACAAAAATGTCGAGCAGATTGAAAGAATCGAATAAGAAATTGTAATCGCGAAAAGTAATTTACGAGCTTGACTTTACTTTTATAAGGAGCTTTAATTGAGTCTTGGATTTTAATTTTAAAGTCTTGATAAAAAAAACTATATTATATAAAAAAATTCATATAAAAGTATATTTATAAAATATCATATCAATTGTAATTATTTGATTTAAAATTATATAAAATTATGAAAAATACTAGCATTCTAACGATAATTATTACCATTTAGAAATATATTTTTATTTTTTTAATTAAATAATTGTCTAATTGAGTCATGATAAACACAATATAAATTAAAATTGGGAAAATTCAATTTATAATCCAAGACAAATTCAGTTTAGGTTTTGATTTCTGTCTCTCGCCTTGGACTTGGAAAACGGATTACCTTTTAAGATGAAATCCGGGAGATGGTTTCATTGTGGATCAGCTTCAGCATAATAGTGACAGATTCAAAGCGGGCTTGAAGTGGTTTTGGCCCAATAAAGTTACATTTTAACCCCTTTAAAAATAATTTTTAAAATAAAAAATATTTTAATATTTTAAAATTATATAATTATTTTGATATCTTGATATAAAAATATTGACTTTATCATTTCATTTGGCAACTTAAAATAAAGATTTGATTTGTTCTATAGTCTTATATTAATAAATAAACCGAAGACTTTGTTTAATTTAACAATCCCAAACCATGTATAAACACGACTAGCTCGAACATCACTTTAATCAAGCTATTAAATACTTTCATAATTCATTAGTCAAAAATCCACGCTGGCATCTTTTTTTTTAATTAAAAAAACCGTCAATTATTTTCTTTTTCTTTTTTACCTCATAATTCATAAAGTACAAAATCATGATCATAATGTGAAGTTTTGTTTTAGCTTTTGTTTCCTTTTAAACTGTGAAATTTTCGTGTTTTCTTTTAAAATTTAGTAAATCAAAATTAATTGACCGATATAAATGCGGCAGAAGCTTTTGCTTTTTGCCTATTGGTCAAACTCAATAAAAAATTTGTCCACACTATTAATCAAATGCAAATAGAGGTACTGGAACTTTTGGTCCACCATTGCTAACTCACGTATATACGTGGTTTAGTCATTTTCACATGTCAGATGGGGACAAAGTCGATATGTTTCAAGAGGGAAACTGAGGGATTAACGAAGCCATAGAGGAGAAGTTAAACCATGGCGAGACTTAGCTCCTTCTTCTTCTTCATCTTCCACGTTTTCTTCATTAATGCAACATGTTGCAGAGGGAAATCACAGGCGCAGCAGCTTGGAAAGAAGCACGTGCCTTTCTTCATCTTCGGTGATTCATTTCTGGATGCTGGGAACAACAACTACATAAACACCTCGACTCTTGACCCAAGCTAATTTTTGGCCTTACGGTCTCACTTATTTCAAGTTCTACCGGCAGGTTCTCCGATGGACGTTTGATGCCCGACTTTATTGGTGAGAATATCGATTTTTTTGTTGTTGTTGTTTGGTTAACCAACACATATTCTTTTTGCCTAACATGATCTTCTTTCTGGTCTCATCATAGTTGTATATATTTTCATAGATTATGTGTTGTTTTGTATTGTAGCTAAACGTGCAAAGTTGCCTTTGATTCCGCCATTTCTGCAACCTGGTTTTCGACGATATTACCATGGGGTCAATTTTGCTTCTTCTGGAGCTGGTGCTCTTGCCCAGACGTTTCAAGGATTTGTACGTCTTATCTTCTTCCTCAAACTTGTTTTTTCGTTCTTTAAAATTCATATTGTTCAAACCAAATTGCATATGGGAATCTTACATTTACGTATATTCAACTATTAAAATTTTGGATTTAAAATGAATAATACTTTATAATTTGATTGGATGGTAACTGAGGTAGCCACTTTAATTGGCTGGATGCACCAACTGGCTTAGGGTCCACTAATGTATATCCTTCGATTTGTCAAACATCATGTGGGTGAGGCCCAAAGAAACTTATTGGTACCCTGTCCAATCTTCACCAAAAACATCAAACAAACAAAATTTCAACTTGGAGACTAGCTTAGAGGCTCAATGATGTGTCAAAGGAACGGCCATGGAATTTGTGAGAGAAAACAAAATATATTTTTCTGTCTTTTTTTGTTTTGTGAATTGGGTTACTCAATTTTCAGGTCATCGACCTTAAAACACAGCTAAGCAACTACAAGAGGGTAGCGAGGTGGTTTAGACTGAATTAGGGAAGGATGAAGGGCAGGCAACAATATCAAGAGCTGTACACTTGTTTAGCATCGGAAGCAATGATTACATGAGCCCTTTCTTGACCAATTCCACTATCTTAAACAACTACAATCACTCCACTTATGTTGGGATGGTCATCGGCAACCTTACAACAGTCATTCAAGTAACCCATTCTTTCTTTCCTGTCTCAATTGCACATGTTTAGCTTAAACCGCGAGATGATATATATTTGTCGTCTTTTAAAAATGATTGTATACGTTTTAAAATGTGTAAAATATTTGATGTTTGAATTGACAGGAATATATAGAATAGGAGGTCTGAAATTTGCGTTCATCAACTTACCGGAACTAGGTTGTTTCCGGGGATGAGGATAATCCAGTCCGAGAACAATGGAAGCTGCTTGGAGGAAGCAACGAGACTTGCAACTTACATAACAAAGCTCTTTCGAAGCTCCTACTTGAGCTAGAAGAACGATTCAAGGGTTTCAAGTATTCACTTTTTGACTTCAACAGTAATCTCAGGCAAAGAATGAAACATCCTTTTACATATGGTACGTACGGTAACAAGCAAATTAAAAGATGTTCTCATTACTAACTATGGTTTTTACCCTGGTTTTTTTAATGAACTTGACACCGTAGGGGGACCATTAATTAACATAAAGATATGGTTTTCATAATTATATTTTAAAATTTGAACCTTTTCTAAATGATATGATGATGGTCAAAAGGTAAAAAGGCATAATTTAGCAGCTTATTTGAAACCTCGAGATCTTGCCAAGCCAGCTTAATTGGAAACCTTTTCTAAAGTTTCTTCGTAAAGAGCCGAGTAATTTTTTTTCACTATGATAATTTGATTTGGACTGCATGCATTTCACAGTATATAAAGACACTGCCAAATATGGAAATGGAACTACATGTTTGTTTCCCGAGAAAAAAATTCTTATCGACCTAAAAGAAATATAGAGAATTGCAATTAACATTGGGTGGAAAATATTTTATTGTGTAATGAAGGTTTCAAGGAAGGGGAGACAGCATGTTGTGAAGTGGGCAATATGGAGGAGTATTCAGCTGGGGGGGGGAAAGGACGGTGAAGGAATTTCAACTTTGTAAGAATCCCAAAGAGTATGTGTTTTGGGACTCTTTCCATCTCACCGAGAGGATCTATAAACAATTGGCAGATCAAATGTGGGGTGGAGAAACTAGCATTTCTCATGACGTTGGTCCTTACAATATGAAGAACCTATTTCAAATTTATTAATGCAAATTTTGGATATGGTACATACTATGATTCTATATATATAGCATTAAGTTCATTTCATCAATTAAATGGTCACTTTGGTAAGTATTTTTCATTCTTTTCTTAGTTCTTTGCCCAATTCACCTTTCCCCCCCCTCCATTGGTTAATTTTTAAATGGACCAAATTGAATTTTTATATTTTGGAGGGTCAAAATATACTTTTAACATTATTTAAATTTTAAAGGGATAAACTCAAATTTAACCATTTTAGGGGAGGCAGGGCTTTGGATCTACTATGCAAACGAGCATATTCTTGACTAAATCATGTGGAACTAGAAAATTTAAAGGGATCTGGATTAATTTAAGTAATTTTAGAATAAACAAGGATCAAATATACAATTAAGCCAAAACAATGGAAGCCTCCAGACGCTGATTCGGTGCCTAACTTTGGATAATTTTGGGAGTTGCAACTCTTGACTATTAAAGACGAGGGTAAATTTGATTATCAGAATTGAAAAGTCAGCCAAATAGAAAGTTCAATTTTTTTTTGTCGGCGAAGAACTGTAAGAATTGAAAAATCAAAAGCCAGTGATAAGAATTAATTTGCAGTTGCGGGGAAATTTCTAGCATATCAGAGGATTGAATCTTCCTTCATAGGAAGCAGACAACTATATGTCATGCAAACTGTAAGGAGTGCGTGTTTAATTATGTGGCTATCGTGTTGTATTAGTTAGTATTGTTTTTTACACTGATACGACAGTGTTGCTCGACTGGTTTAGTTGAATTGTCTTGTTTCTTCATTATTTCCTTTACCTGTTCTGTGTGTTCTTCGAGTGATTGAAGGAAAATCCAACCGTACGACATAAAGAATGGCCAGTTTAAGGGTGTTCCTGTGTTGCTTTCTTATCACTGCAAGTTCCATCAACCTCGTATGCAGCCGTAGTCTGCAAAAGCATCATGCCGCCTTGTTTGTCTTCGGTGATTCACTCTTTGATCCTGGAAATAATAACTACGTTGGCACGATTGGTCGAGCAAATTTTTATCCATATGGTGAAACCTTCTTCAACCACCCCACTGGGAGGTTTTCTGACGGTCGTTTAATCTCCGACTTCATTGGTATAACACAAATTTCTCAATCTTTTCTTTTTTTTTTGCCTTCTTGTAGTTAAATTATGAGAGTGTCTTAGTGTTTTGGTTAATTCTTCTTGCAGCCATGTATGCAAATTTACCGCTAATTCCTCCGTATCTTCAACCTGGGAATCATCAGTTTATTTACGGGGCCAACTTTGCTTCAGCTGGAGCTGGTGCTTTGTCTGAAACTTTTCAAGGATTTGTATGGCTAATTCCTAATGCTTAACAAAAAATTTCTGAGGTTCTTGTTGGACATTGGTTTCTTCATCATTTACAAGTTGCTGATTCAGTTGAAATCCAGGTGTAGATTTGAAGACTCAGTTACGTTATTTCAAGAAAGTGGCAAAGCTGCTGAGCCAGGAACTAGGTGATGCAGAAGCCATGGCCTTCTTCTCCAGAGCCGTATATTTATTCAACGTCGGAGCCAATGATTACATATTACCTTTCACCTCAAACTCCACGGTACTTGAAACCTTCTCCAACAAGAATATGTCGGAATTACGTTATTTCAAGAAAGTGGCAAAGCTGCTGAGCCAGGAACTAGGTGATGCAGAAGCCATGGCCTTCTTCTCAGAGCCGTATATTATTCAACGTCGGAGCCAATGATTACATATTACCTTTCACCTCAAACTCCACGGTACTTGAAACCTTCTCCAAAAAGAATATGTCGGAATGGTAATCGGCAATCTAACCGAGACCATCGAAGTAAGTTTAATATACTTCAAGTGTTCTAGTTATAGATGCTAAGATTCATGAACCACTCCATGTATATCTAATTTCGATGATGTTACAGGGAATACATAAGAGTGGGAAGGAAATTTGGGTTCTGAACATGGGTCATTGGGCTATACCATCCCTGAAAGTACTTGTACCTGGAAATAATAACGGTTCCTGCTTCGAACCTGTTAATGAACTCGCTAAACTGAACGATGCAGCTCTGCCTAAAGCCCTTGAAGAGTTGGAGATCAAACTAGATGGATTTAAATACTCCATGCATTATTTGAATATTTCTTTTGGTGAAAGGCAGAACAATCCCCATAAATATGGTATGCATCAAGCCATTTGATGTTATTTTAGTACTTATCAATGGCCCCCGAAACGCAAGTTACATATGTTTTCTTTTCAAGAAAAGTATAGCATGTTTGGGAAGCGGTCCATACGAGGAATTGACAGCTGCGGCGGGAGGAGGGTTGTGACAGAATATGAATTATGTTCAGATCCTAGTGAATATGTGTTCTTCGACTCCCGGCCATCTTTCCGACAAGGCCAACGAGCAGATGCGAAGCTCATGTGGGAGTGGAACACCCACTATTACGGGGCCTTACATCTGAAAGCATTGTTTCAAGCATCATTGATTTGATCCAAATATCATCATCTCAACATAGTTCTGTTCGTGTTCCAATAAACAAAGCCTTAGAAGAAGTGCTGAAATGTGAAACTTTCTGCCAAGAAACAGAAGCTACTTGTTTTTGTAGAGATTTTATAATGTGTAGAAGAGAATAAATCCCTTTAAAGCTTAGAATAACCAATGGTTTGAGAGTAATTAACTTGCTCCCCCCTTTTTTCTTACAAATTTACACCACATTCTGCCAAAGTAACAAGGAAATTTGTAGCATCTCATAGGACTGAATCGTCCTTCGTGTAGGAAGCAGGCAACTTATATAAATTCATGCAAATAAGGAGTGTGACATAAGAATGGCGAGGTTAAGGTTGTTTGTGTTTCTTTCTTTTCTTTTTACTGCAAGTTTTATCAACCTCGTATGCAGCCGTAGTCTGCCAAAAAAAAATAGATGTCCCCTTCTCTGTCTTCGGGTATTCTTGGTCCGGGAAAAAAATAACTAAAGACACTAGTGCGGGCAAATTTTTCATATGGTGAAACCTTCTTCAAGTACCCCACTGGAAGGTTTTCTGGATGTTTAATTCCAGACTTTATCGGGGGAACACAAAATTACTCATTTTCCCCTTTTCTAGTGAAAGTAAGAGTGTGTTCTTAGTGTTCTCGCCAATTCTTCTTGCAGCCGAGAATGCAAAAATACCATTTATTCCACCATATTTTCAACCTGGGAATCATCAATTTACTCATGAGGTCAACTTTGCTTCAGCTGGAGCCGGTGCTTTGTCTGAAACTTATCAAGGATTCGTACGGCTAATTGCTAATTGCTAATGCTTAAACAATAAAAAAATGATTGTCCCTTGTTCCATATAATGGGGTAAGGGGAGATAAGTAGCTGTGCCCCCAACACTAGGTTGAGAGCAACTTCCATAGAAGACCTCCGAATTATGAAATACCTTCCGTGAGACTCCCCATGACCTCAAGGTTAAAAACCTTATGCTCTACCAACTGAGTTGGATAGTCATCTCTAAATGCTTAAACAATAAATAATCTTAATATAGGCCAGGATGTCTTCAAATTTGTTCTATATATTTCAATTTCTCTGGTTCTTAATGGGTATTGGTTTCTTGATCATTTACAAATTGCTGTCTTAATTCAAATCCGGGTAATAGATTTGAAAACTCACTTGAGTTATTTCAAGAAGGTGGCAAAGGTGTTGAGACAGGAACTAGGCGATGCAGAAACCATGTCCTCTCCCAAAACTGATTTGATTTAACATTGGAGCCAATGATTACATATCACCTTCCATCTTTAACTCCATTTTACTTGAATGCATCTCCAAACAATAATATGTTGGAATGGTGAATAACAATCTAACTGAGACTATCAAAGTAAGTTTCCATGTACTTCAAGCATTCCCTTCCAGTTATGGCTGCTAAGATTCATGAACCAATTCCGCGTATATCTGATTTTGATGATGTTCCGGGAAACACATAAGAAAGGAGGAAGGAAACTTGGGTTTCTAAACATGGTGTCATTGGGATGTATCCCATTCCTGAAAGCACGTGCTCCTGGAAATAACGGTTTCTGCTTTGAACAAGCGAATGAACTCCCAAAACTGCACGATGCAGCTCTGCGTGAAGCTCCGGAACAGATGTACATGAAACTAGTAGAATTTAAATACTCCATGCATAGTTTGAACTTTTCTTTCAGTGAAAGGACTAACAATCCCAAAAATACGATATGCATCGGGCTATCTTATTACATACATTTTTTTACTGCGAGTTTGTGACTTTTACATAAACAAAATAGCATCAATGATTCATAAAAATCGAAGAGATCGAAAATATATTCACAATCTCGACCTAAATATATTATTATGAAAAGAAAACGAAGCATATTCTAGTCTAGATGTTTGTTTTGCTTTTCTCTTCTCTTTTAAGGTTTCAGGGAAGAAGAAATGGCATGTTGTGGAAGTGGTCCTAAAGAGGTATTCCAAACCGTGGTATGGCAAAAAAAAAAAAAAAAAGAATTATCCTCCAGAATATTTATTCTTTTGACGGTAACCAATTTTCTGAGGAGGCCACCAAGCAGATTGCAAGGCTTATGCGGGAGCTGAATAGCCTTTATTACGAGACGAGGCCTTACAAGTTACAACCTGAAAGCATTATTTGAAGCGTGGATCATTGATTTGATCCAATATCATCTAGCGTAATTACTTGTTAGTTGTTTAAATAAATAAGCCTCCCAGCAACAAGACACTAGTTCTTGCAGAGATTTCCCTAGTCTTTATAACACAATAACAGAATACAAGACAAATCCCATTCGAAGCTTACAGCCTCTGCCTTCTTGTCTGAAGATAGTCAAATTTTCTTTCACAGAACTGGATTTGTAGTGTAAAAGACAAAAATTTGTATCCAAGTACATTGAAATACAGCTACTTAAATGGAAATAGATTATATTGCTTAAAATACAACAGAAAAAAAAGGTAACCCTTAATACTTCATGCTGACAGCTTTTCTCATGTTAGGTCTTCAATGGAGCCTTTTTCTCTCTATCAGAGATCCGTGCAGGGGCTGTCGAATGTGATTTGAAGCGGCCTCTCCCTCCTTCGTCTTTTTCCTGGAAAAGTCCATATTCATATTGTTCAATTTCATGTTTCATTAAAAATACACTTGCCCTTGCCCCCAGCCAAAGCAAGTTCTTAAATTGTTGGAATGAAATTGCAAAGTCATTCAGAACAATCAGAACTACGAACTGAGTTTTTTACAGTTTATACCTTTTTCTTGACAATCTGAACAACATCTTCATCCTGCAGAGCTTGGCTAAGGCCACAATGTTGAGGGTAGTGCCTTGCACTTGTGCCCCAGACCAGAACGTATTTGACATCCTTTATCAAACTCCTATGAATGTGATGCAGAAATCTTCCACCGAGCACCCCGATCCTATCTCATGCCAAGAAAAATTAGTCAGCAAACTTCCAACATCAATCTAACAGTACATAATATTAGAGGTGAAAAACGACGAAACATATGCGTACAGCAGAAAACCACAGGATCACTGAAATCAGGTTGCTGCCCTTGTGGCTTTGTATATACTCGAACAAGCCCCATCTCTTCCCACATCTTTGAAAGTAATCTTATCTAAATTCAGCTGCACAAGCGACAGGCATATTGTCATGTTCAAATTACATCAAGTATGAAACTGACAAGTAATATATGTCTGCAACTGTCGGCATTGATGTATTGTAGACAGCATTTTACTTTCATTTTAACAGGGAATGATCATGGAACTTAATAAAACATGAAGACAAAAATAAATTATCAGATAGTATCAAATGTCATTGTGTTATAATGGCACTGAAGATTCTTGCATTTTAAAACTATTAACATACTCTTTAACTTCCATTCCATATTTAATATTGCCAAAAAGCCATTAACATTTAAAAAAAAGATAAAACATGCCTTCAGATTGCAGCTTATTACAACAGAATTAGGTTGCCGGGCTAACTTATCCACATCATCAATACCGATGACATCTATCTTGTTGTACACATACACACTAATGTATTTGCGGTTTCCTTCGATGACATCTATAAGATCATCCACTGTGGCATCCTCACGAAATAGAACCTGAAAGTGTACATCAGGAATATGTCAGAATAAGTAAGAAAACACCATTTGAAAGAATTGATAAATCAAATGAGAAGTTTAATCGTTACAAGACTCCATACCTCCGCATTGTGAATCTTGTATTCATGTAAAATTGATAACAGAGTTTCTCATCCACATGAGTTAAAGGTAATGTACTGTTGAAAGAGATGCCTCCAGTTTTTTTTTTTTTTGAAATATCTGCAAGAAACCCAAAATGAAGGACACATCAGTAATGCAGAATTGAAAATTTATAATAATTATAATAAAAAATCAGAACTTTTATACAATTTGAACTAGTTAATGTTAAACCGTTGTGATAAGAAAATTATTCATTTTTCTTTAGGCAAACAACTAAATGATATTTTAAAACATAGAGATGCCTAATGTATTAATAATGATCCACATAGACAATGTTAGCAATGAACTTACTTGAGGCGGTCTCTTGTTTAAACGCAAACCCACGCTTCCAGTTCCTTGGTTAATATTTGGCGATGACCCTCACTCTGGGGTTTTCATATTAGATTACACAGGCACAAGGCAAGAGAAGTCTCCTAAAAAATCTTGAATAGAAAAAACTACTATTATATAGATTCTTACTTTAGAGGCATCAAGAACCATAAGTACAAGATCTGATGACTTCGCAACAGCAATAACCTGATAAGTGAACAGTTTTACAAGTAATCTCAAATTCAAGAAACTATTCAACTAAACTAAGCAATAAGAATGGAGAGAACAAATCATAGGTACGAACAGAAAGAAAAAAAAGAGATGTAATATTATCATTTTCCACGTGTACTCACCACGAAAAACATTAAGCATTTAATCAAACAACATTCAGCTAACTTTTAACAGATACCTCACTTGGCAACGATAGTTTTATACCAAGAAATGACAACACATATCACCGGGTAAAATTAGAAGCTGCAAAAATTTCACCTGCCTCCCACGTCCTTTGCCTTCAGAAGCACCTTCGATAATTCCAGGAAGATCCAGCAGTTGAATCTTAGTATCATTGTAATGTATGATACCAGGAATACATGTAAGTGTAAACTCATAAGATGCAGCTTCTGAATGTGTTCCAGTTAACATGGTTAAAAGGGTTGATTTCCCCACACTGCATTGCATTACAACACAATAGTTAACCCTCTTTTCAAAGAACAATGTCAACATAGAGTATAAAAACACCTGTAAGTATGTATATTCTTACAAATGCATGTTTACACAGAAAGCAAAACATATATTTTCCTACATAGTTGTGCAAGTAGATGGAGTGAGTAGGCTAGAGAAGAATGGAAGATGAAGGTACTGGCAGTAGACTGATATCATCACTACATCATTTATCGTAAGTGAGATAAAACCAAAATCATCTTACCGAAGACCAGGCTTCTACTTTTGCAAACCCATGAACTGCCAATAGTTCTCAATAACTTATTAAAAAATAGAGCATGTGCACTCGAACGATAAAGGTGCAGACCTTGGAAATCCTATTAGCGCAACACGTCCATGACCAAATTTTGTAACTTCAAAACCATCTCCACCTCCACTAGAACCCTGATAATAGATTCAAAAAGCAGCTTTAAGGAGGGGGGAAATTACATGAAAAGTGTAAAGAAAAAGTATTGCAATTATAATAGGTTACCAGCCGGGAAATGAACAACATAATCACTTGGATCGCTCAGAATATATCATATTCAATATCTAGCCACCCCAGCAAGAAAAAGAAAAACTGGTTTGAGCATGTTAGATATGGGCAGGGAAAAATCTATTAAGGGACTGGGAGGGGTTGTTGCCCCTCCCAATTTTTAGATTTAAATACTCAATAGAGCCTGTTCTTTTGATATAAAACAATTAACCCCCCTCAATGTTGCTCTCCGTCCCGGATATGGATAGGTTACTGTAAAAAGAGATCAACCCACCTAGAAGTGGAAAACCAAAGCTATAAAGCTTAAACAATTTAAAATAGTTAAAATGACAGGAAACTGATATTTCATTCAACACTTCAAATTGTTAAAGAAACATAAATATTGATTGTAACACTATTCGTATGCACAAACATTAAAATGTGGCAAAGAAAAGAATTTGAAGAAAACTATGCGTTGACTATATGCATATTTTAAACGGTTACAATCCATGTTTAGATAAGAAATTAGAAATATTTAGGTGGCTCTAGTAATTGTGTCCTTAGCTTTGCAATCTTTGCCTTGAGCTGACCAAGATGGTACTCTGTGTATTCAGTAAATATTAAATATAACAAATGAAAATGTTTTGGAATGAAGTAAAAGTAAAACCAGATAACATATACAGGCACTTACGCATGTAAAGAGATATGAACACATACCTGTGGCCTTTTTTTGGGTTCGCCTCTCGGCTTCAATTTCTTTAATCCTCTCAATCCCCATATTTTTTTTCTGATTTCAAAGGCACGGATTTAGCTTCCAAAAGTGTAATTATAGATTCCGATAAACTACGAATAAGTGAAATTGGCTAAATTCTAAATATCATGCAAAACCAGTGCACATTGAAAGAAAAGGCAATCTTTGGAAAGAACCCAATTACACGAGACGAAAGAAGGGCAATTTGGAACGAAAACCAGTTTGATGAGAAAATGATGGGAAAGAGAGAAGAGAAACTTGAGAACGTTGAAAAAATTCCCTTATCTTTTTTTTTCTTTCCAATCTCACTCGATAAGTAAATCAAATTAAATAATGAAGGGGGAGAGAAACTGAATGCCGATCGTACCCGATTGAAATCAAGTTGGTACTAGAAAAGTAGAAACTTGAAATAGTAGTGAAAGAACTTTTGAGAGGAGAGTGTTTAACGAATGACTCACCGAACTGTGTGAAGCTCGACTCCACTCAACAGCTGAAAGAGGTAGAAAGGAGAGGAGAAAAAAAGAAGAATTTCAAGTAGAACAGACAATAAGGGCTTTAAGCTCAAAAGATAAAAGTAATGGACTTGATTTGGAAAGCACATTTGCTTTCTGGGCCATAATATCTGGACTTCTGGGTTTTCGCCGATTTGCAAGTATCTTGCTCGGTACTGATATGTGTTTAGAGAGTTTATAAAATATAAATTTAAAATATGTAATTATTTAAATTAAATTTATTTAATTATTTTTTATTTTATAATATAAAAATAGTTTTATATATTTAAAATGATAAATTTAATTTAAATTATAACAATTATTATTATTTTATTAATATTTTAGAAAAAATAATTTGTAATTGGATTGAAAGTTAAAGCTAAACCATCTATTTATAAATTGATAAAAAAAAATTATATAAAATATAACATAAATTGAAATACAATAAAAATATAATAAATAATAATTAACACAAATTAAGTAACCTCAGTGGTTGAAGGATTGTTGTTATGGCTGAAAGTCTTTAAATTAATATTATAAAATAGGTTGTAAAATATTTTTTATTATTGATAAAATTTGTCAAATTTAAAAATAAAAAATCAATCTCATGAAGGTATTTATGTTACTTGAGTGATCTTATATTTGACAGTAAATAAATTGTTAATTTAATTTAAACTATTTTTTATTTTTTGATTAATCTAAGATAATTATAAGCATAAAACGTGAATGATTAGTCATTAGACTTGCTCCAATAGATACAATGGAAACAATATCTCACCAATTTGCTCCCATGTTCTTTAACTCATAATGTTCAAATGAGTTAATTGCACAAAATTATGTTTTTATTTTAAATTGATTTTAAATTTTTAAATATTTTTAAATATTTTTATTCTAAATTATATTATATAGTCTTAAAATATTTTATATCAATACTCAAACTATCAAATTAATTTTTTTAACCAATAAGATTAACCTATTAATAAAAAGTTAAAACGACAAAATATTTATAATCTAAGGACAGATATAACTTGAAATTTAGCAACCAATTTAAAATAGATTCCTAGTTGAAAAACATCGTAGGTAATTATCAACATGGATAGGAGGAACGGGTGGGGCGATCATCCCCATAAAAATTTCAAATTCATATATATAATTTTATATTTTCTTTTTAATTTCGATTAAAAATCTATTTTTGTTCATGTAAAATTTTATAAATTTATCGTCCCTTAAAATTTTATAAGTTTATCGTCCCTTAAAATTTTATAATTTCTTCCTTAACATAAAATCCTACATCCGTCCCTAATTATCGATGCTCTAATATTGTCTAGATATATTACCATAGTTGTGACTTGTACTTTCAAAAAATATTAAAACCGGGAAAAAAATATTTGTTAGATACCTGATAAAATCTTCTCATA